ATTTTAATTGGAGCTTTGTAGATTTTTTTTGAAGAAATTGAACTATTGTTCTGAGTTCTAAGTGAAGTCTGTAAAAAGTGTTTATGATCAATCAGGTCCTTTTCAATGTTTGCATCTGGCCTTTTTATTTGATTTAATCAAAAACCTGTTGATGATATTACTCTGACTTGAACCAGTAAAAATGCCCAGCTCTAATCTGCCCCAGAGTTTCTTCTGAGCAMAAACCTGAGCTTTTTAGTTACATTCACAAAGAAAAGGTAAATGTCTTTAAACAAGAAAAAGGTTTTTAGGATATGTAAATTAATGTTAAAATCATCCAAACCAAATATTAGCAGCCGGACACCAGTGATGATGTACAGCTACAGCCTCTCCTGTTTGAGATTTCTATCAGAGTCAAACTGTTTACATCATTTTACAGCAACAAGAGTTGTGCTTTGGGGGCAGAGATAAAGATGCCAGATCACCTCTCTTCCAGCCACTCAGCATCCAGGGTCAGCAGGTGGACCAGGTGGAGTCTTTTAAATACCTTGGGACAGAAATTGACATCCGACTGTCTTTTAAAGAGCACACAGACTCCATTTTTTAAAAAGCACATCAACCCTAACCCTAACCTGCTGAGGAAACTGTGATCTTTTAATATCAAGGAGGACATTTTAACACTGGTTAATAAATCACTCATTGAATCCAACATCACCTTCAACATTTTGTCCTGGTAAAACCTCCTCACTGTGAAACACAAAAACAAACTGTCACGAATCAAAAATCAGGCCAGCAAAATAATCGATTCACCTCAAACCCCTCTTCCTGAACTGTTTAACCACTATGTGATGAGGGAGACCACCCTGATCACAGAGGACCCCTCTCATCCCCTCCATCAATCATTCCAGCTGCTCCCGTCAGGCAGAAGGTTCAAAGTTCCTCTGGCCCGTAAAGCAATATACAAAAAGTCATTTATTCCTCTTGCAATATCCACTCTGAATACTTTGAAATAATAATAGTATTGTAATTGATTTTAACAGTTGCTTTTAACAGTCCCTTTTATGTGTTTTAATGTGTTTTTATGGGTATTTGAGTAAATGCGAAGTATGCTGTCATTGGAGCCCTGTCAAAGGAAATTTTTCTGTCACCATCTGGGACAGGCAATAAAGTTATTCCCTCCGCNATTGTAAAGTAGAATAAAATATAATTGTCCAAAGATCGTTCTATGAGGAACACCTATTGACAAATTTATGGCGAACAATTTGTGGTTTTGTGTGCAAATTAGGATATAATTAGATAATTTGTATTATTTTGTTTSAAATTTGTCTTGTGATTATTGCTTTCTTTCATTAAATGGTCATCTTCACAGACTCTACTCTGGAAGACATTAAAAATCTGAAGGTCTGCATCAAGTTAAACGGACTTCGACTTAACAAGCCCTGCCTACCAGGAGAGCTCAGCCAATGGCTGCCCTCCAGCGAGAGGTCGGCAGAGGTGGACAGGAAGGTCAGAATGGATTCCCTGCCTGTCAGGGGAAGGTTGGAGGTCAACAGCAGCTGTTACGAGCCCAGGTTTCCRAGGAGAAACACATCAACAGGTAAAAGTTTATTTAAACTTGAAGTTTAGGTGTGGCTGGAGGTGAACCCAAATTATTAAGTTTACTATGAAGAATTCAGCAGGGTCTGATCAKGAATGCACCTAACAGTCCTCTCTGTGCCAAATAAAAACATTCAAGTTGATAAATCATTGATGTATTCCAACAGAATGATTTGACTTGTCTCACCTCTGACAGGAAACACAAATCTCGTCACATTTCTGAGCACTACAGGTTATAAAGCAAACTTGTTAAAGCTTTTATTCTGCAGCCTGAGCTGCTGCTTCTGATGAAATCTGCTTCTTCTGTCATCAGTCCTCCTCCTCCTCTTCCTCTCTCTTCCTCTCGCTTTGATTGCCAGAGCACACGCCTGGAATAACACCAGGCGCCGTGTGTGTTCCTGTGTGTGTTCTCGTGTGTGTTTACGGACCCGTCGAGGCCTCGTGGCGTGCTAATAGCCGTCTAACATCTCCCAGATGGAGCTGTCACACTCGCTGTAATGCGCGGGGAATGCGTTAGCAGCCGCCTCCTCCTCCTCCTCCTCTTCCTCTGTTTGTTGAAGGCTGAGCTGCATTCAGTTTCCACATGTTATCTTTTGGATCTCTCAGCAGTCAAATTCAGTTCAACTCAAACCAAATAAAATTAATCAATGGGGTTTGATGTGTAATTACTGAAGCTTCCTTTTTACTGTTCACCTGTTAGTCTTTTTTTTTTCTTACAAAAACACACCAAGAGTGTGTGTCTCATTCAGGAACAGTGAACTCTGACTTTTGGTGGCAGAACATTATTACAATGGAGATAAAATTCCCTAAACAGTGAAAWTTGTCTATGAGGACAGTTTAGTATAATGGTATTTAGTTGAAGGGAGTGGTAAAAGCCATAGCAGAWGCATCATTCAAAGTTTCTTTTACACGACTAAGCTTATATTTTAAAAGCTTTTGGCAACGGTTTTTATACAGTCCCGGTTTGTTGGAGTATTTTTGGAGAATCTTTTCATAAAATGTTCAACTTAGCAACACAACACCTAGTGGTTACTGCTGTGCCTCACAGCAAGAAGGTCTTGGGTTCTCAAGCCCTAAAGGGCTCGACACACGGGGAGCGACAAACTACAGCGATTAGCGGCTGTCATCGCAGCCAGGGTGAAACCCGACACACGGAACGCGATAGCGATCGCAGCGTTGGGA